TCCATTGCTACGACCCACCTGCCTTCGTGTCTCTCCTCATTCTACCCACCATCTTCCTAATTTCGCCCAACTTCTTACCTTCTCCAGATTTCTTCTTCAGAATTTCTTTTTCCCAAAAAGAGATGTAGAGAGGGGGAAGGGGTATGTAGCGCATTGACGCTAACAGGAAAAACTGAGAAAAGGACAACGAAAATATTCTCTGCGAACCCAAACTCCCAAACAAGCCCCTCTTCCCACCTTTCGCTGAGGATCCCCTACACACGAGGTGTCTTGATTGTACCTCGATCGTTGGTGGGTCATTTTGAAATCGTGAAAGGGGTGGGGCTGAAAGGCTCCAGTGATTTGGTTCTCCGTCCACCCGATTAAGGCGAAATTTGTCCTAAACTAGTAGCGTTAACGATAAGGTAGCAGTGAGCTACGGAGGGGTAACCTTATATTTTGCGTAGGAGGATTTCCTTCCCCGACAGGGGCCATTTGGCCACGATCGTACTACTTACCCAACGCTGATTTCTGAGTTTCTGAGTCGTAATGAAAATATTTTAAGAGACGAGCGATGATGAAGCCGTCAGTTCATCTGATGAAGAAATGGATGACGAAGAGCTAAGTGAGCTGAAAATCAAGCGAAACCCTAGGCAACGACGAAATATTCGCAGCAGGAATAGGTACAGCCCGGAACCCAGGTGGGTGAACTCTACTAGATAGTTTTAATTGATCTTTGCTAAATTTGAACCACAATCTTTTTGAAGCGGCTCAGTCAGTAAACAACGGAAGTCTGGCGAAGGAGACAATGTGACTGAATCGGAATCGGACGGCTACCATACCCCGGATCATTCGTTACTGTTCACCGATCTTGTTGTGTCGACTTATGGCATTGAACAGGGCTCTGCTGGCGATCTTATGTGAGTTTCTAGATAGTTCATTGGTTACTTGTGTAATAGGAGGGGCGGGGGTTGAGAGACCACGGGGGTAACAGGTCCTTTACTCTCCTGCTCCACTAGTCTTCTCTTGGACCCCACCTATATGATCGGTGATCGGGTTAAGCTACCCACCAGCCAGCCATAGGTCGAGGATACGAACAGCGGGATGAGAAAAATTTATTTCATTGTCAGAAGACCCCTCCTCACTAGAAAATCCTTCGGCACGCCCTTTCCCCTTCCCGCATGCTCTTCCTGAGTTTTCACAACTTGCTACCACTTCCCCCACTTCTCCAAAAATTTCCCTTGCGTTTCTCCGAAAAAAAATGGCGTCGAGTGGGGAAGAAATGAGGCCTTTATCAACAGTGGCCAGCTTAGAAATACCTGATAGGCAAGAAATGAGAGAAACCGCGAAAAGTCTGCGACTGAAAAGTTTCCCTTGCGGCTGGGAAAAACTCTATCCACAGCAGATGGGACCTTCATTGGCGGCATACAACCAACCCCCCCCCCCGCCCTTTCCCCCACCTCGCCCTC